CATTGTGCCGAGAACAGCCCAATTCCACATATGGCAGTCGCAAGATGGGTCGTTGCATAACTTTAAGAGAAATTTCATCAAACCTATAAAAACATCCAACCATCCAGTAGTAATAGGTGAACGGTTGATAGGGAGATGATGGGTAATCGACAGGACTTCCATCAGTCCAATTCCCGTTGCCAATCGTTCCATTTCCGAAGCGGCCAACGAATGAATACAATCCGCCGCATGGGAGATTATTCGGATCTGGTGCGGTGACGTTGGCCAGATTTGTTTTGATTAAATCTGAAGGAAAAGGGAAAAGGGAATCATTTTTAAATACAAGAAATCCGTACTGAAAACTCTACAAGAAGCTAGTTTTTTTTGTTTACAAGTGAATATTCCATTCTTACCGTAAACGAAATCCTCTTCTTCTTTTGAATGAATTGAAACCAAATGTGCTCCGGTTGTTTGTGAGCAAATCGACTCAGATGTTGTCCAATCGACAAATTTCCATTTCACGTCAACAGTGTAGGTAAACTCCTTGACGTTCTTGATTTTAGCTTGATTTTGGAACTACCTGCATGTAATAACAATAACCAAGAGTTGCGTTATAAATCCATCCAGCTGGACATCGAGAATCTAAAGATCTAAAGCTCTGAAGTGCTTCTATCATAACCTGTAAAGGATAAGGACATTACTTTTTCTATCTTGGCCATTTTTTTTGCACCATTGTTTCAGACAATATTTTGGATAATGTATTTTTTTCACTAAAATGATAAATTGTTACGTCTTATGATTATGCGTTATGGAAAATAGAAGTAATGGGCTACTTAAACGTTTGATTTAACGATTTACTCGATTTAATGATGGAAAATCCCGAGAATTGTTCCCGAGAATGAGAATCTTTAAATCGAGAGTCGATTGTACAAATTTTCAGGACACTAACCGCACTTTTTCTCCGAAAACCGAAAGAAAGAAGGGAAGATAAAAATGGATCATCCAATGACAACGTAGCCTCCACTTCAACTTCGTTTCGATCATCACAGAAAGTGTCTGTGGCTACGAGGAATTCCCGTTGCTAACCCGAACAATTGTTGCCATTTATCTCAAAATTTCCTTTGCCAGAGAACCCGCTGTAAAGAATTGTTAATTGTTAAGCGTTTGTTCTACAAACCAGTGATTTTCTAAAATCTAAATGAATTCTCCAAAAACGAATTCTCTGGAAGAGCATTTGAAGATTACCGTAAATCCTGTAATAGGAGCCCCAAGAAATTTTCTTAAAAATTTTCTTAAACGGCAGATCTTGTTGCTCAATTATGTTACTGTGTAATCAATTAAACAATGATTTGATAAGATCTGCTAGAAACTCTGCTTCTGCTGATTATTTGACAAGATCTGCTGATTTTTAGATTACAAAGAATGACTTTGAATTGAAAAGGAATTTGTTTATCGTTTACAAGTCCAATCAACTTCCAAAAGAGACACACTTTATAAATTAAAAACATTTTGGAAGAAACTTTAAAATCTCAAAATTCGAGGAGTTGTAGTTCGAATTGGCTTTTTTAATGTTTCTTCAACAGTTCTATTCTTTTTTTTACTTTGCAGACAAATTAGAGAATAATTGTAAAAAAGGATTATCGACAAAGGTGTTTCCTCTATGATCGGGCTGAGACTTTACACTTGTTTGTTAATGGGCCGCTCTCTGTGGTGGTCTTTTCCCGTAAAAGTCAGCTGGCTAGTGAGAGAGAGATTTCAAAACAATTAGTGGCTCATCCTTCTGCACACATTTGACAATCACTAAAATGAGCCTAGTTTTTTCTTTTTGTTTTTCCGGAATTTTAGAATGAATGATTCAGTTTTGAAATCTCTTTCAAATCCAATATTTTCTTTTTTGTAAGTAGTATGCAAAAGTTGTTTCTGGCGCACCTTTTTGCCCAAATGACGTTTTTGCAGATTTTCAGCCATTTAAAGGCATTTTTGAAGAGTAATAAGCCTTTTCTAGGAGTATTTTATCTTTTTCTTTGATGTCTTTACTTTGCTCAGGAATTCCATTTCCTGTCTTCAAAGTATTCAATCCTTCGGATCTAGGAGTCGAAGACTCTGTAGGAATGAATTTACACTTTGTGGTGTTGCAATCTTCACACAATCCCTTCATCATCAATTTATTACTTTTGGAAACTATTTGTGATGTATCAATGATGTTTGTATGTTTCTTGCACTTGAAACAAAATATGTCTTTATTTGATCTTATGAATCCTTCGGACATTCTATTTAAAACAATGAAAAAATGATGAAGATAAAAAAATAACAATCATTATTAGTAATAGTTATTATATATATTATTACAGTTAAAGGCTACAGCAGAGGTTCAAAAGTGTTTATTCAGAGATACAAGGGTTTATATATGTTGTGTCCGATTTAGATTTCCGTCCGATTTAGATTGAACTTATCGCGGACGTCCGATTTAGATTACAGTCTATATCGGACGTCCGATTTAGATTGAATCTAAATCGGACGTCTTATATAGATTGAACAATAATATAAACATGTTTAATATATGTTCTTAAGCGTTTTCTGTAGTTTTCTGCATTTTCAAAGGTCTTTTATTAATTACAGTCTATATCGGACGTCCGATACAGATCGAACAATAATAAACGTGCTTAATATATGTTCTTAAGCGTTTTTTGCAATTTTCTCAGCTTTTCAAAGAAATTTTATTGTCTTTTTTTGAGAATTTTTTGTTTTCTTGTTTTCCTATTAAATGCTGCTTTTTTACAGATGGAGGACGTTTTTGACCAAGAATTTGACGTGTTTTTACAAAAAAAGAAAAGAGGACAAATTCCAACCGCTGAAATCTACAATTTGATGGTTGAAACGCTCCACAATCATCGTGAAAACTGCGAGAAACCAAAACTACCTCAAAACTACCACGAAAACAACTTGCTGAAAAGATTTGCGCTCGTGATTGAACAAAAGGGAGCGCAGCTTTATCATGTGGGCGAGAAAAATGGCAGCGGAGAGATGCCAGCACAACAACGAGTGATTAAGCGAGAAGCGGTCTTTCAGCTCTTACACGAAACACACAAAAAACTTGGACACGCTGGAATAAACTTGATGTGGCAAAATCTCCGAGGATATTATGGTATTATCATATTATTATCATAAAGAATAGAAGATATCACCATGGAATCAGAAGAACTCCATTTGCCGCAATGTTTGGTAAAGACTATGATGATGAACGAGAAGTAAGGTATGTCTGAAATTATTTACCTAATAGATTCCAAACTATTTTGCTTAGTGATGATTCAAATGGGAACGAATTGAATCAACCGGAATTTGCGTCCGAAAATTTGGTTTGTTTTGTTTATTGTTTATTTTAATCTATATTTTAAAAATTTAGGAGCAAGTCTACAAAAAAAGTGCGGAAATTGGCGACAAAGATGAAAATAGCGATGATTCAGGTTTGTTTTATTTTTTATTTTTAACGCTATAAAAATAGGTAAAGGATTCAATTTTGCAGCACAGGGTGCTGAAATACTTGCAGAAAGAGATAGTGCCCGTTCGAGTCTAATAAAACAAGCCGACAAGATGTTACAAGCGTCTAAAGAGAGGTTCTTTTATGATCGTTTTTCGGTTTCGCCTAATGTGCACAATTAGATTTCAACCTTTGGATGTTGGAAAGAACGTAAGAATTCCAATTAATCCGGTTGATCGACCAAAAATTGGCCACCGAAATCTTTTGGGCGTTGTCACTGAAGGTTTGTTTCGATTAAATTCACTTAAACCATTTTTTTAAAGCAATCGATGGGCTTTACACGATTGGGACGGCGAATGGGACTCTACCACAGAAGTTTTCAAGAAATCAACTCTATCCTTGTGAGACGAACTTCCTTGTTATTGCTGATGTGCCGGAATGTTCAACTTCCTTTCGTGCCGCCATCGGTGATTCTTCTATTCACGGGAAACAAGGTAAGTAACTATAACTTTATTTCATTTTTTGCGTGTTCCATTAGGCCATAAACATTGCTTATGTGCTGGAAAATGCTCATCCAATCGATGTTCGTGCAAAAAGGATGGCCGACTCTGCAATTCAAGATGTCACAATAGCCTAAGCTGCAAAAATAAATAGAAATTTTTAACTCGTTCGTTGTTGTTGTTAGTTTTTTGTTGTTATATGTTGTAATTTTGCATCTATTCTGTTAACGCTAATAAATTGTTTCATAGTTGGGTTTTCTTTTCAGAAAAAGACAATAAAATTTCCTTGAAAAGCGCAGAAAATTGCAAAAACGCTTAAGAACATATATTAAACATGTTTATATTATTGTTCAATCTATATAAGACGTCCGATTTAGATTCAATCTAAATCGGACGTCCGATATAGACTGTAATCTAAATCGGACGTCCGCGATAAGTTCAATCTAAATCGGACGGAAATCTAAATCGGACACAACATATATATATGATTGTTATCACTGACAATATTGTAGAGAATGTATGCACTTGATGTCAGTGCATGTCATTCTCTGAGATCATCGATGACGATCGGTCGTAGCTCAATACCCTAACAATTACAGGTACCAGTATATTTATATTTTATAAATACCGGTAAAGCTATACTCATTACGAGAATAGGACTTGTCTGAAAAGAACATTTTTAAAATTTGAAAGGATAAGGACAACTTTGAAGCAAGTTATAAGCGAAAATGAGATAATTTATGCAAGAAAGTTGAGCAAAAGTGAAGAAATTCTGCGACAAAAATCGATTATCATTGTTATTTTTTCCTTAACTTTGAGTTTGTTAACAACTTTTCCGTATCTTATTGTCTGGCGTAATGTCTCAGTTTTTCAAAAGCATTTTAGCTAGCCAAGTTTTCCGAAAAGTGGAGCTTATTTTTGTACTTATATTGAGATGGTATTGGATAAACATATTTTCATCCAAAATCCTCACATCGACGACTTAGTATTAAAACTGTTTTATTTATTCAATTTACTTATTTCATTAATTCTTTGGTTTCAGAATGGTTTTTGTTGTGATCCGACTAGTTGGTGAAGCAGAAGATCGCTTGTTCGAGAATATTATTTTGGAACCGCAGGTTTGAACTTCATTGGGTTCATCTAAATTCTTCATTAGGTTCATCTAAATTCTGTTTTATTTATAGATTTCTCGTGTTGACCTGGTGAAGGAGATTGAGAGTGTGACGAATATTCCACCCAAATTTCAACAAGTCCAATACCGTGGCGATAAGCTACCCGACTCTCTTCATCCTCTCGAATCGATCAATGATTTTGAAGAACTTGTTGTGGTAAGTTGAATTTTTATATTTAGAACTTACTGGTTATTGTTAGGATGTATAAGTTTATTTGTGTGGAATTTAAGGTTTTTTATTAGCGTTTAAGTTTGTTAAGATCTTATAGGCTTAAAAATTGTGTTTTAGAAGCACTCTTTACTTTCACAATGGTCTAACTATTAGGGTGTCCCATAAGTTCGTTAACACTTTCAACAGAAAAGTTATTTTAAAGGGCAACCGGCGTCACAATTTCACTCTTCTAATTTCTTCTGAACAGTTTTCATGTACGAAAATGTGACGCTGGTTGCCCTTCAAGCATGGCGGAAAAGTGATTGTGGTAAATTTAAAAATTTTTGAGATTCAAAATTGTGTTAAACAATTATTATACAGCTAGTGAATTCTGTAAAATTGCTCTCAAGTTATTTGTTTTATTTTCAGAAACATGCAGATCTTCCATGGTGGATTGAGTACAAAGAATGTGTTGAGTTAGTGTTGAAGCTGTGCTCGAACAAAGTTGCAATTGCAAAAGAAGCTGTCCAACATCACGAACGTTTAACCAAAAGTGGATTCTTCAATGTCTACGCCCAATTCAATAACTTTCGAAGGCAGAAACATTCTAAAGTCGCTTCTTGGACCGATGGCGAAGTAGATTTAATTTGTAAAGCGACGGAACAGTACTTCCACAATCTTCATGATCAAAACAGGGGAAATGAAGATTCCGAATTCATTTGTTATTTCGAAGAACGAGATGTGGAGTTAGGAGGCAGGTCAACGAACACACTTGCGTTTGTCCGGATTCATGGGGAAGATTCGGTTTCAAAGTACAACGTTAAGTATGTTTTCTATTCATTCATTCAAGATCCATTTCTGTAATGTTTAGATGCCACCATTATGGCCCAAAAGGCACAAGCTCAGACCAGGTGCCGGACGTCTCCGAATTCTATTGCTATAAATTATTAGCATTAATCGGTGTCGGCCCCAAATCTCATATTATTCCTCCTAGCATGTCGACTGGAACCAAAACAAGCACGTAAGGATTTTACAGCTTTGCGTATACATATTAGTAACGAGTTTAGGAAGAGACATATACATCTTTGCATTTTTTAGGTACATTGCTACTCAATGGGACGACAAATTTGAGCTTCTTGAAAACGTTATTGATGAGAATAGCCTTTGCGCGGATGTCGTTGTTCAATTGGTTATGCTTAGAGTGCTTCTATTCATTTCTGATCTACATGAACAAAACTGCGGTTTGTTTCAGAGTCTGAAAAACTATAAATATAATTGATTTATTGATTTTAGGAAGGTGGAAAGGGACGAAGCACGCCGCAATTGTTGACTTTGCCCCGACAAACGATTTTAAGATTTATCCAGATATCAAAAGCGAAATGATCACAACTTTTCTACATAAAGGATGGAAAAAAGAATATTCTGCTGTGAAAAATCAACACGACGACAACTCCTGGTTAAAGATCGCAAAGGTGTATTTGGATAAGTGGGATCTCTCAAGCAAGATCGAATTGGCTCGTGAACAACTCGATCCAACTAAAGTCCTCCTTAAAAGCCTAGAAATTGGCTTCAAGAAGCGGCAATTGCGGTTTAGTCCCACCGACCAACTGAAAGAATACATCGATACATTGTACAAAAATTTGGAAAATCTTCAAACTCTTTTAAATTCCATTGTTTAGTAAACAGTAATCTTCGTATTGTTTTTTTGCTGAATATGTCTAAAATATATAAATAAATTCTTTCATGAAAACAATGTAATTTATGACTTTTTTTAAAATTAAGTGATAGAAAAATTACAATTTTTTATATTTTAAGCGATAAATTGTCGTAGGAAGATCTGCCGTTTAAGAAAATTTTTAAGAAAATTTCTTGGGGCTCCTATTACAGGATTTACGGTAATCTTCAAATGCTCTTCCAGAGAATTCGTTTTTGGAGAATTCATTTAGATTTTTACGGCCTTGACAAGATCGCCTATCATAGCTCCAATATTTACGGTCAAAATGACGCTGATCAGGTTGACTACAGTGTGGTGCCAAGTGTAAAAATTGGGTCCTCGGCAGAAGTTATTTTGCAAAGAATAAAAAAAACTTCAATAAAAGTTTAAAAGCAACTAGAGGTTCTAAGTAGCCCATTACTTCTATTTTCCATAACGCATAATCATAAAACGTAACAATTTATCATTTTAGTGAAAAAAATACATTATCCAAAATATTGTCTGAAACAATGGTGCAAAAAAAATGGCCAAGATAGAAAAAGTAATGTCCTTATCCTTTACAGGTTATGATAGAAGCACTTCAGAGCTTTAGATCTTTAGATTCTCGATGTCCAGCTGGATGGATTTATAACGCAACTCTTGGTTATTGTTATTACATGCAGGTAGTTCCAAAATCAAGCTAAAATCAAGAACGTCAAGGAGTTTACCTACACTGTTGACGTGAAATGGAAATTTGTCGATTGGACAACATCTGAGTCGATTTGCTCACAAACAACCGGAGCACATTTGGTTTCAATTCATTCAAAAGAAGAAGAGGATTTCGTTTACGGTAAGAATGGAATATTCACTTGTAAACAAAAAAAACTAGCTTCTTGTAGAGTGAACTGTGCTTTTACTCAAGCTAGTCACAAGTTTTTGCTTTCAAATGAATAAAAGGTTCTACCCCTTTACTGGAAACTTGGTGCCGGGGAGTTCTTTACAACAAAAGTCACATTAAATTGGTTCATTGATTTGTTTACTCAAATTTGTGCTATTGCGGAGGTAAACGGACAAACTCCCGACAAAACTCTGAACAAAATACGTTATCGAAAACCTCTAAACTTGATAATAAACGATTTTTCAGAATATTTTCAGGTAAAACTAGACCTTCTTAAACATTAGCAATAAAATATACCAGTTTTGAGACTCTGTAACTATGATTTTTGGCATGTTTAAGTCACAAAAAGCGCAATAATGACTTTATTTACAACAAATTTCAATCAATTCTCTTTTGCTTTACAAGTTGACCTCACCGAGGAGACAGATTGGGGAGCAGCGACCGATAAGCTGAAATTAAGACTTAGACATTTAGGATTTTTGGTTGTTTTTAATTTTCCAATAACTGACTCCTCCAAAGATTGGATTGATGGTTCTTCCGAAGATGCTCGTGAGGAAACTGTTGCCGCAACATCTCTGGAATCGAGAAAGTTTAAAAACCTATTAAAAATCTCTTAAACTAACTTGCCAAAGTAAAATTTGGGCAATAAGTATCTTTATAGTTTAGAATTATCTTGTCAGCTTTAAAGCTCTGTTCATTACCTGAAAACCGCCGCAGTCGAGAAAGCTGAGGCACAAGTTCAGCTGAAAATGTAGATTTTTTAAAGGTAAAGCAATTTGAATAATAAAATAGAAAGACTTACTCCATTCGATGGGAAGAGACCGCTGAATCCATTGAGTCCCGAGATTCCGTTAAGACCGTTGAGGCCATTGACTCCGTTTTCTATCTTGGCCCATTTTTTTGCACCATTGTTTCAGACAATATTTTGGATAATTTTTTTTCACCAAAATGATAAATTGTTACGTCTTATGATTATGCGTTATGGAAACTAGAAGTAATGGGCTACTTAGAACCTCTAGTTGCTTTTAAACTTTTATTGAAGTTTTTTTATCCTTTGCAAAATAACTTCTGCCGAGGACCTAATTTTTACACTTGGCACCACACTGTAGTCAACCTGATCAGCGTCATTTTGACCGTAAATATTGGAGCTATGATAGGCGATCTTGTCAAGGCCGTAATCGAAGAACCAGCCTGAGCCTGAGCTCGAAGTAGTTGGTCCACGTGAAGTCGACTGTAAGATCTTCATCAAAGCCAAAGCATTCAATCACTTACACAGTTGTTGTGCAGTTTGTGTATTGGGAACGAGTTGTAGGCCAGGAATCTTTCCAACTGTCGCCGGAAGAATGCCAGTCATTGTAAACGTCTCACGGCCGCATTGGCAAGAATTGTGTTTCATTGCTGAACAAGACAAGTTGATTTCTGTGTCGTCATTTCTCTCTTTGTCAGGTGAAACTTATCGCTTACCAATTGATACATTTTCGTGGCTTTTGGATAGTTTCCAGCCGGTGAAGCACGATGCCAATCTATTTGTCCCGTGGCAATCTTTGAACGGAAGTCATTCCATTCCTTATACATAAATTAGACATTGAACTCAGAAAGATGTTCATCATTTGTTTTTTCGAATTTTCAATAAAATGCAATTCTCTCTGCAAATGCAATGGTCTAAAATACTCAGCATAGGTTCTTGTACGAGATTTTCCCTGTCCAGTTCAATCCACTCACTCCGTTCACTGCAATGACATTTGAGTAAATGTAAATTTCAAATTTTTATAGTTTAATCGTATTTTACCAAGATTGAAAGAGGACTCAAGCCAAATATTCGTCATTCTAGAGTCAATTCAAATATTCTACAGTACGTTGTAGTCTGCTAAAGAACAGACATTCAGTCACTGCGGAATCAAAAGCACCATAGCACACTGGTTTTCATAAATTTTGAAAGAAAAATCCAATTTAGCGTTTATCGATGACCTGCTGCTTGAATTTAACTAGCTTTATGTGTTCTTATAATTTACGAGGTCCTAAAATCAACTTTAGTTACAGCGATCATTTCCCTACATTTCATTTCGATTTCCATTCACAAGAAAGTTCAATAAGTATTTAAGTAATTATCCGTCTTGTCTCTAGAAAAACACATAAATTGCCATGTGAGTTCAGTTTTCAGAGCACTTTCCTCAACCAACACTACACGATAGATCATAATTTGTGCAATTTGAAACTTTCATTTTAAATAATTCATAGTTGAAACAAACGTTTTACCTCTAAATTCATGCTGGTCGCCTTTTTGAGTACCTTAACCATTTAGACAAACTTCCTATGTGGCTTCGTGATCCACTTCTTGTTTTAATCATCACAGTCTTCCTTGAATGTTTGTTTGATAACGTTTAATAGTACAAACGATGCAAAATCGAAAACCATCCACTAATAAGAGAGACTTTAAAACTTATTAATATCATAAATTGTCTATTTTAATGTTTTATTTTTGTAAAGATCTAGTTAAGGTAGCTTCATTTTGGTTTATCGTTTCTGCAACGATTACTGGTTTGTTGTGACTGTTGACGATAAAAGGAAAAGCTATGATATTAGTGACAAGTTGACTAAACGACTCACTACGATACTTGATGATGCCAATAATTTGGTGCGTTTTGTTATAAGAGAAAAGTTACAAAAGTCTTATACAAAAGATCATGTATGCTGGGATGAAATTATCTAGTGCTTCTCTTTGTTAACACTTCCACTCACAGATTTCCCCGATCACTCTCATCTCAGCTGCTTTCGCCATTTACTTTTCAATGACCAACAATCGGTTGACACTCGTGATTCGGTATTTATATAAAAAGTTTTTTAAAACATCGATTTTCTTTAGCCTTTTGGCCACAGCGGAAAATGTGAACAAGTTGATTGCGTGTTTCCTTCAAACCATTCTCATTTTTTGTAGCCTTCAATTCAAATGGCTAAAGTTGGATGAAGTTTTTAGTAAAAACAATGTATTGTTAGATGTTCGCGCGGATTTGAGACTGTTTTTTTCAATATTTATCGCTTTATCAACAACTATGGACTCTGGGAGATCGCTTGCTTGTGTCAAATGCAAATCTCGATATGGTTTGTCTAGAAGATTGAGTTTTAAGACAAAATGATATTGGACTTGCATCTTTAGGTCATACTCCAAAAATAAACAATAATGAAATATCGATTGAAACAAAATCAATCAATGACTCGTTGGATGGCGATGGCTAAACGAATGGTTTTGGCCTAGTCTTATACAGGGTGCGCCATAATTACCCGCACAAGATATTTAAGACATTTCATACCAAAATTCTGTACCAAAAAAAGAATTTTAAACTAAAAGAAATTTATTGGACAAGAAGAAACAAGAAAACGAGAGCCGATTCAATATGTCCTCCTTTTGCTTTAATAACAGCCTTCAAGCGATTCGGGTAAAACTCCACGGCGGGCCGAATGTGACTTTGAGGAATTTCTTTCCATGTTTTGGTCAAAGACTTCTTCAAAGCGTCCAAACTTGTGTGTTTTTGAGAGCAAGCATTGGCCTCTAAGATACTCCAAATGGAAAAATCCATTACGTCGAGTTCAGGTGAGTTCGCGGGTCACTCATTGACGGTGATCACGTTGGGGAAATTGGCTGAACACCAGGCCTGAACCGCCTTTTTTGTGTGCGCAGGGGCACCGTCTTGCATAAAGGTCCAATTTTGATTATTGTTGATTGTGTTTGTCCAATGCATCACCTTTTTCTTTAAATCGATTTTCACCATTGATTTTCACACCCTTTTCAACGAAAAACAGGTCTGTCCGCGAATCGACAGTGACTCCGGCAAAAACCATCACAGATTGTGGATGAGATGTTTTCTCGACGGTTCTTCCAATTTATCAGCATCTGCAAAGCTATTGGCGAGTATCCGATCATTTTGAGCGTTGTGAAATTGCTCGATCGTGAAGAGTTTTTCATCCGTAAAAGAGTTGTGGGATGTTGAGCACGAACGGCCCTTGCGAGAAGCGTCTTGCACCGATCGAGCCTTTTCTTTTTCTAAGGGTCGGAAATCGACTGCTTCCTTTGTAATTTGTACGAAACCAACTTCAACTTCTCTCTAACAAGTCGTCTCATCGAAGTTTCGGGAATTTTTAGATCTTTTGCTGAGCCTCGAATGCTCTTTCTTGGATTTCGTTGGATTCGTTTCTTGACGATTTTCTTGAGCCTGTTGGTCGTGACGGTAACTTTTCTTCCTGTTCTTGGACGGTCCTTCAGCGTTCCAAGTGCAATAGCATCATAAACCGTACGCCGAGGCAGTTTGAGTCGTCGAATGATGTCGGGTAGAGAAACGCCCTTTTGATGAAGATCGAGTATCGTCCCTCGACTTGCCGATGTCCCTCGACTATCGTCCCTCGACTTGCCGATGGCTTCACCATTTTACGTTCACTTAATAACTTCAAATGAATTACGAAATAAAACAGATAGAAGAACTACAAAAGAATGTTGTTCAGTAAAAAGAGAGGAAAAAAACACTTTTAACAATGTGGGCCTGCCTATGAAATGTTGTGCGGGTAATTATGGTGCACCCTGTAGAATCGAGGTTTGCTTTGACCCAACTCAAGGCGGGATAGATTACGATTATAAATCCTACTTCAACTAATAGCACTACTTTTTCTAGCTAGAATTTGAGAATTCATTTTTATTTATCACCTTTTCTCTAGCCGTTTCATGGCATTGGCTTTCGACGGCTTGTATTTTCGCTATACGACTCGTTGGCCATTTGCTCAATTGCTCTTTCCCTATTTGTACCGAGTGGCTTTCGTTCACGCGAGAAGTCTTTTCTTCGATGAATGGTACAACGATTACTATGATGTTTATTTGAAAAATTTCTCCTATTTCTTCGCGTGTGCACTCGATTTTGTAACGAATCGAAATCTGAGAAAGGTATTTTTTAAGCTAAAAAAAGAAATTATTGTAAATTTCCGAGGGAATCAACGTCCGCGACTAGTTAAGCTTTAATCCTTTTCATTTAACCCAATCCGACAATTAAAACTCCCAAAGTTTGCTGGAAGTTTCATTTATTTAATTCATTTTTGGCTTCCTCTTTTCAAATCCAATCCAATGCCGGTCTTGTTTTTGAGCACTTAAGAACTACTAAAACTTTTTCCTTGATTGTTTAGATCCATAATATTGAGTTGGTGAATTGAAAACTGCCGGACTTTGAACTAAAATTTATTCAACATAAAACCATCAATTCATTACAAATATTTTGCATTATTATTGGCAACTTCTACGTATTTTAGAGTCAATTTGCGGATCTCTCTTTCGTTGTAGAATTTGAGTTTCTGTGTGAGACAAGTGTGAGACTCAAAAATGGAGGACCAGAGATGTCCCAGTTTGAGCACTTTCTTCAAAAGAAACCCATTTTGGTGTTAATGGAAAAGTTGTAGAGAATCAACAATTAGGCCTATAGCCAAATTTCCAAAAAGATACACTTAGTCGTTTCGCTTAAAATGCAATTTCTGTGAAAATTCGTAAATTTGGCATTTCTTGAAAACCAGTTATTGAATCGTTCTGAAAATTTGGCTATAAGCTTGATTTTTGATTCTCTATAACTTTTCCATTGACACCAAAATGGGTTTCTTTTGAAGAAAGTGCTCAAACTGTCACATATGACAATAGCCGGCATTTTTCAATTCACCAACCCAATAAAATCATCAAAAATACGAGTATTTAACGAAACTAAACAATTTTTAGAGAAAACGCGAAGGAAACGCGTCAAGAGTAGAGATATTATTGATGTGGCAAGTATGAAAAACTCTTTTCATTTCATAAACCTTCATTTCAGATGCTCACCAACTCTTTCTTTTACATTTTCTGCACATTTTTCTATTATTTTCTTCGTGGAGTGACCAACATTTACTTTGGGGACAACAATTTGTACACTGTTGTGTCTAGTGCTGCCACCCTCATCCAATGGACTTTATTTTTTCCTGTTTTAAGGTAAAGACAGTACCGCATTTACTTCAATAGTATCAGGTGGTCGCCAACTTTAAGAGTGCTGTTCTCGGTGCTGGGTTCTAATAAAAGAGGCACCGTGTAGTGTCGCGTAGCCGTGTAGTCACTGGTTTTTCAGTGCTGGTTTGAGCTGTAGAAGTGTGAGACACCAGGCCCCAAAGCTTTTTCAAAATAGAGTCTACTCTCGATTAAAAGATGTCAATTTTTGAAAGCTATTTGACTTATAAAGACGTTTGATTTAAAGATTTATTCGATTTAATGATGGAGAATCCCGAGAATTGTTCCCGAGAATGAGAATCGTTAAATCGAGAGTCGATTGTACAAATTTTCAGCACACTAACCGCACTTTTTCTCCGAAAACCGAAAGAAAGAAGGGAAGATAAAAATGGATCTTCCAATGACAACGTAGCCTCCACTTCAACTTCGTTTCGATCATCACAGAAAGTGTCTGTGGCTACGAGGAATTCCCGTTGCTAACCCGAACAATTGTTGTCATTTATCTCTAAAATTTCCTTTGGACAAGAACCCGCTGTCAAGAATTGTTAATTGTTAAGCATTTGTTCTACCAATAAACCTGTGATTTTCTAGAATCTAAATTAATTCTCCAAAAATGAATTCTTTGGAAGAGCATTTGAAGATCACCGTAAATCCTGTAATAGGAGAAATCCCCAAGGAAAAACGGTAGAACTTTCTTAAACGGTAAAACTTGTTGCTCAACTATGCTACTGTGTAATCGTGTGTAATTGTTTCGAAAAGAACAATGATTTGATAAGATCTGCTAGAAACTCTGCTTCTGCTGATTATTTGACAAGATCTGCTGATTTTTAGATTACAAAGAATGACTTTGAATTGAAAAGGAATTTGTTTATCGTTTACAAGTCCAATCAACTTCCAAAAGAGACACACTTTATAAATTAAAAACATTTTGGAAGAAACTTTAAAATCTCAAAATTCGAGGAGTTGTAGTTCGAATTGGCTTTTTTAATGTTTCTTCAACAGTTCTATTCTTTTTTTTTACTTTGCAGACAAATTAGAGAATGATTGTAAAAAAGGATTATCGACAAAGGTGTTTCCTCTATGATCGGGCTGAGACTTTACACTTGTTTGTTAATGGGCCGCTCTCTGTGGTGGTCTTTTCCCGTAAAAGTCAGCTGGCTAGTGAGAGAGAGATTTCAAAACAATTAGTGGCTCATCCTTCTGCACACATTTGACAATCACTAAAATGAGCCTAGTTTTTTCTTTTTGTTTTTCTGAATTTCCTGAAGTGAATTTTCGAATGAATGATTCAGTTTTGAAATCTCTTTCAAAGCCAATAGTTTCTCTTATAATTTTGTAGAGGACAAGCCAGGTTTTTAATGATAGAAAAAACAGTGATGATAAAATGATATTCATTCTTTTTTTCCAGTAATTTATGTCGATAAATGTTCGGCATGAAAATGATGAATCGGCTCTTCATTTGGCCGTGAAGAGTGGTCAACGGGAAGTGGTTTGTCTTTAGTGAATACCTCTTTCTTTCAATAGAAATTTAAGAAAAATTGCATATAAAATTGCCCCTTCTTCTCTCCTAAATCCAAAAAAAAATGATATTTTACCACTTTAGGTGTCACAACTGCTGACCGATGAAAGCTTAAACGCACAAGACTCTCAAAAGAATACGGCTTTGCATTTAGCTGCAGAGAAAGGTTTTTTTTAGTTGTCTTTTTTACAAAACAAACAACTTTAGGATACACTTCGATATGCCGTGATTTGATGGAAAAAGGAGCTGACACAACACTCGTCAATCAGGACAGCAAATCTGCCTTTGAGCTGGCTGTTCAGGTTCAAAGATTCAAACAAAATTGTGCAAAACTTAGTTGACTTAGTTGGAGTTGACTTAGCAAAACTTAGTTGAAGTTATGCTCAAATTTAACTTTAGGAGGGCCACTTGGACTGTGTGGCGCTGTTTTGTGAAAGATGTGACATCAACAATCCATTCCTGTTCGGGTGAGAATTGTTAAATTTCTGTTGTTTTTTTCAGTAAGATAAAATCAGGTTAACGCCATTACATTTGGCGGTTAAACTTGGACACGAGAACATTGTGGGACATCTTCTTGCAAAAGGAGCAAAAGTCGGTCGGTGAAAAGGGTTATCGACTTCAACTATCAATTCAACTATTTTTTAGAGCTGATGACACACGGAATGTGGCCTCGAAATGCTTTTGAAATGGCTCTTGACGATGGAAATGTGTGAGTTGCAGTGAAAACTGGCTTTGATCGAAAGCTAAAGAGAAAACTAAAGAATTTTTAGTAGCATGGCAAAACTATTGCTGGAGGCGAAGAATTGGGAGAAAATGTTTCGCTGCAAAGTGCAGAATCAATCGGAAACACTGGTCAGTGATCAGGGAATTGAATGGAGTTTTGGATAGACTTGCTTAAATAGGAATGATTCTCAATTCTAATGATTCGCAATTCTAATGATCCAAAATTTCAGCAAAATCTGCCGATGCGACGAATCCTCGTCGATTACCCGGATCTAGCACGACAAGTGATGGACAAATGCATTAAGTAAATAAACAATTCTTTTTTTTAAAACTTAGTCTTTCTGCAGGCGAAATCGTAATCGTGTAGCTTTGGAGTACAATTTTGATCTCGTTGACGATACTTTTGAGTTTCTACGGCAAGACGGTTGGTATCAGTTTTGGATGAGCAAGGAAAACAAAGTGATTTCAAATTGCTTGGAATATTATTGCCCTAGTTGATTGCTTTAAAGCTGATCAATACATCATTGGGTAGCATTTTACTCTTTTGGGTAGTGCTTTTTCCATTGTTGACCTGAAACTTTTGAAAAAAGTTGTGGTCAACAATGGGTTTTTTCGTCATGCTCCTATTGACGTTCAGTTTTTAATCTACAGTATCCTATTGCGTCCATTTCAGATTACCCACTTCCTTTCAAGAGAAGTCAAAGTGATATCTACTCAAAGCATCCACTTCGAATCTTGGTAAGCCACGTGTATCAATCAAAAATTCTGTCAAAGAGTACCCCAATCTGTCATCCTTTTTTGCGGCTCAACTCACAGCTGTCATCGTTTTTGTTTGCAATACACTGCAACATAACAAAAGAAACCAGTCTTTTTTGAATCACAAAGGCCGAAATTTATAATCAAAGGAATCCATTTTTAGCGTTTTTCAATCTCAAATGGCTTTCAAAAAACGGTTAATTACAGGCGATTAAGAGAAGAAAAGCAGATAACTACGCGATTCCCTAAGCAAAAATTAAACGACACAAGTACCCAAAATTGAATTTGATCGAAGAGACTGGCCCTTAGAATTTCAAAACGTTTTTTAGGGTAACTCAAAATGCAAAGAGACGAGAAAACTATTAGAACATGAACTTGTCGCTCAGTTTATCAAGGCTCGAAAAAGACAACTCAAACGACACGAGCCCCTCTTTTATTCGACCTCTTTTGGTAGGTTTTGTTTAAAAAAAATTAGAATAAAGATTGAACTACAAACACAAAACAAGACAGTAAACTTTTTGGAGTTGATAAAGAAATGACAAGATATTCAGTTTGTTGTATTGAACAATCTCAATCTATCAATAGACATGCTTTCCAAAACAAGTTAGCGTCAACGTTAGCAAAAAACTGAATAACATGAGATTTGTGGAGATTTGAGTAGACATGCCAATCTATCACCCCTTCCCCTCAACCATAACCAGTTCAACAGCAAAAAAACAAGCAAATCTACCATTTTCAGAGCTCTTTCTCTTCATGTTCTTCCTCTTCTCCTACTTGCTCATTTTTGTGGTAGACGGTCAATGGAAGCAAGAGAAAAAAGCGTATTTCCTTGAATCTCTCAAGTTCGGCGATTTTCAATTGAAAGTTTTTGAACGGAGAAATGCCACCGAAACCCCGGAAGCACGCAGCGATTTCAATCGAACAGTTCAATTTCAAAAATATTAGTAAAAAAAACAGACTTTCAGATGCTAAATCTTTTTGTGATGTCATCACTTGTATCAGCGTTGCTTCTGTTGTTTGTGGAAGTTGTGAAAATGTTGAGATTTGAGCTGGGTGATTGGAAAGGTCAGTGACAGGGATTTTCTTATCTTATAGCTAACCAAGAAAATCTAAATTCTAGCCGGACCAAGGGAGCTGACCGAGATTTTCCTTCAACTACTCGTTTCCTGCATCTCCCTGTTCACGATCGTTTGGAAAGGTGTTGATGTAAGTGAAAATGGAAATCGAAGTGGAAAAGATACCAGGAAAATGTTGGCTGTTCTTAGCTGTTCACTTCTTTTCACTGTTTTGCAAGAAAATTTTTGTCAACAAATCATTTCACTCAATCCAGACTATCAAAATAGTTACAAGTACTTTTTTTCTAGGAACTATGCTACTGGTTTGACTGGGAATGGTCGTGGAACCCGTCTGACTATCAACTATTCTGGATCTGCTCAGCGTTGGCCATTTGTTTGGCCTGTTGGAATTTCGTGAGTTATTCTTGTCTAGCGTCTATCAAGACGAATTTAGCTTTTCCTGCTGGCCAAAAAGAAATACTTCAACCTGTTTGTGCTGATGTTCATGAATGTAGTGAAGAAATTCGGAGGATCGTTGGTGATCATCGTCATCTTTCTCTTGGCATTCTCTTTTAGTTTTCATCTTTTGCTGCAAGATAAAGTGAGTGAAGAAATCTTCGACAATTACTACCGTAAATACTGTAATAGTACCTCACCCTCCTCGTACAGTCACGTAGTCGCAAAAGTTTTTTAGTATTTCATTTTTACAAAAGCGCCCGTACTTTCAAAAAATGTGTTTTTGGTATCAAAATATAGCTGAAATTCAGGGCTATTTTTTGAAACCTATTTCAAACATTGTAGTAAACCAGTTTCTCGAAATACTCGTTCAAAGCTGGACGACGCGAGGCGCCGGGCGCCAAAAAAAAGGGGGGGAAAAAAAAATGCGTTTAAAGTTAGACTACGCGATGCTCCGTCTTTGTTATCAAAAAATAGCTCTGAATTTCAGCTATTTTTGGATACCTAAGCGCGCATTGTAGCATAAACCAGCGTCGAGAAACACTCGTTCAAAGCTAGACTACGCAACACTCCGCACCGTTATTATGGGGGTGGGGGTACTATTACAGTATATTACGGTAAGTCTTATAGTCGATGCTTGATCGCATATTTGAATAGAGAATACTCCTCAACTTACAGAAAATTTAGAACTTTGAGGTTTTGGTTTTGAAAGAAGAAGGTGTTAAAGAATATTTTCCAGGAAGACTTCTCTCAGCCTCACTATTCTCTATTCAAAACTCTTGTGATGGGAACTGGTGAGATGGACTATTCGGATCTCTTTCATGGGCACGGAGCTGAAAATGAGCGGTAGGGAAATGTGTAGAAAACAAAAATTGAAACAAGATAGAGCGATAAAGACGGATAATTTTTTGGATTTTTGAATGGGTTTGGCATGGATTTGTATATTTCGATACACTTTAACTATTTGAAATGAATAAATGATAGTTCAGGCCGTGGCTGACAACGACCGCTTACTGTTTGTATGCGATATTCGTCTTGAGCATCGTTCTGATAGCCATGAATTTGTTGACGGCTCTGGCGATTGGCGAGATTCAGGATATTCAAAATGATGCCCGGCAAAGGGGAATCGCCATCGAGGTTTGCTATTGATTGGGTGAATGTCGTTTAAACGTCGATAGCTAACAAAATGATACAGAAAACTTTGTGTTTTAGATTAACACGATTCTGTTGAGTTGTCGCTTCTTGCCAACCGATAAGCTGAAAGAGATTTCGTGTTGTCGTTGGCCACTTAGGTTAAGTTGACCAGATTGCTCTGCTGAATAGGTGGTTTCAGATCACCAAAAGTGCCGAAGAAGTTATTCATCGCGCCAACTCATGATGAAACTCTTATGATGAATCATCAAATGATACTTCGACTCGAGAGCATGCTGGTGAGTTTCTATTATTTATTCTATCATCTATTCTATTCTATTCTATCATTCTAACAAAAATTAATCATTTTTTGACATTTTCAGGAGAGAACTGAAGCGCGAATCGAGACATTAACAGAAAAAGTCGATTTGTTGATGAGAAAATGCGACTCATGAAAAATGATATCAAAACATTGATGTTTAGAGCGACTAT